TAAATAACTTTAAGGTTACAAGTGTGAGATTTATACCAGGTGATTTATACAGGCCCATTGGGCCTCTTGTCTTAGTTATCCTCCCATTTCTTTTGTCATCTTCATTTATGTGACACACATGACATTGATGCCTTCACATATATGAGGGTAATTTTTGTGTGCCTACTGTCAGTATTGACAGGCCTTATGCAAATTTGAAAATTACATAACAACTAAATGAAAGTGAAACTTACAGAGAGATGAACATTCGTTTTGAAATGGTTGTTAACTTTATAGAAGAATGTGATGTTTTTTTAGTTAGTATCGAATAAATAAAAAACAACTAAAATACACTATACGTATTATAATCACTTAACTCATTCACCCCTGAAGACACATTTGAACTCTTCCAATTCAAAGGTTGGAGTAGTTTATTATGAAATTTCAGGGATGAATGAGTTAATGATCTGTTTTGATGATCTGTTCGATAAGTGACGAGTACAGGAAGTGAAGGTCATCAAACGAGCACCGAGTGACTTATTTACTGCCTGTAGTTAAATATAAGTGGGGGTCAGGTCCTCTTGCATTCGGAAAACATCCACAAAACAAACAGTAGTAAGGGCTATAGTGCCTGGTATTTGGAGTGTGACTAACCTATTTACAACTACATACACAGATAGTTTGATTACACGGAAGTTCCCGAGTCAGTATGTGGGAAGATACCAGCCCTTACGTTTTTGTATTTCACATGTAATTGAATATAAGACATTTTAAAATCTATTGAATATTTTCAAACGTCCAAAAGTAAACATGAATCAATGATGACAATTGTGATATATTTTCAACATTATTTAGTTTTTGTCGGCTTATTATGTATGTTATATTACAAATTGATTTGTCATCTTGACGTACTTAAATGGTTAAAAATGCAATGCTATTAGATCTATGGAAAACCAAAACTTTTCTTGTTAAAATGTTGTCAGTTTGTAAGTTAAGATTACACAGATAATGTGTAAGTTTAAATTGTTTAAAGCTTAAAGTTAATCTTTAAGGTTCTTCATATTGTATCAGTAAAGCTGATTGATGACCTCATGTTTGTTATCATAGCTCTCCATTGACTGTTGTATAAAAAGGTAAAACAAAATGGTGTTATGCGTACAAGTCAGGTCTGTGTAAACTCTCGAGATCACAGTTTATGGCCACAATCCTTATAGTGTTTTTCTGTCAATATTTGTTATTATTTCGTGAAAATTAGAAACACAACTAGGGTAGGTAACTCTGATTTCAAAAGCGTGCGAGAGACACTGATCATCAGCAATATAAACCATTGTCTAGTTTTTTGCTTAGCTTTGCTGTGGTAAGTACAAACGAAATACAGGCATTTTTGCTGACATTTCATATTGTAGGAGTGCCTATTAGCTTATCTCCTGAACTGTTGGAAATAGCAGGTTCATTTTGTAGTACTGTACCTGGGGAAATGTACAGAAATATAGGCAGCTATTGCTGTTGATCATATGTTGAAGCCCAATCGTTTGTTTACGTTGACATCCTCTGCTAATGTCATCAGAAAACATGCACTTGAATGTTGGGTTTCGTTAAAGTAGGTAGATTTGCATTACAGTGAGGGTCAGTCTGCCCAGACTCTGTAACTTTTTTATACCACTACAGAGGTCATACAGAGGACACAGATGCAACATCAGTGACAGGCTCCACAACACCAGGGGATTAGGGAGGATGCCCCCATCCCAATTTACATAGAACTAATGTGGTATCCAGGTCCCCTAATTTACATACAATTGTGTAGAACTTATGTTGTAGGACTCGCACAACTAAATCAACCCCCCCTCCCCCTCCCTGTCCAACCACCTCTGCTCAGTCATTCTTAGGTCACTTCCCTCATTCAAATTATATTTATTTCTGTGTTTAAAAGACAGCTATGACTAAACTCAAGCTTAAAAACTCAATATCTCTAAAAAGTTTTAAATTTAAATTTAAATAACCTGTTTCAGCATACCCCCATGTGTAAAAGTACACCACAGATTTAAGCACAAGTTACATAGCACATTATTCACACATTTTAAAACCCAATTTAGCATTTAGAACCATTTTATTGTTCGGTATAATAAATGTGCTCATTCCAAGTGTATGACAGTTGTTAGCTGGCTTCTGCATGAAGTTGTGCTGTCATAATTTCATATTCATCCTCCCCAGATTTGAAAATGTTTTTCGTTGAGTATTATGATTTTTGATTTTTCTTTATTTGTCACAGGTTGAATGACTCTACATAACTGTTACACCGTGCACAACAAGCGTATGAACAGCAAGTAGCCCCTCAGCACCACAGAACAAGCTATTACAAAAGTTGCACATGTGAGTATATGTATGTGTATGTGTCACATATAGGTTTTGTGGCTAAATCCAAATTAAATTCCTTTTTTTTTAGTGAATTGTAGATTTATTCCTGTCATAATATATACCTTGACACACATCTTGTTTATTGGTTTTATGTGTTTCTGTTGTGTGTTTACTCAGATAATTAGCTGTTTATAACATTACATCTCCCCTACCCCCAATATTCTCCCTGTAAAGTGCCGGCACCCTAGGGAGAAAGAAGTGATATATGTAAGTCTGTATAATTGATAGCTGATCAATTAAGATGGATATCTGATAACCTTTTATGACTTATGTTTTGTGTAGAATTTTGGAGTTTTGTGTGAATTCTAAGTGTGTTAAATTGTCAAAATTCTATCAAATTTACTAAAACAAAGTATTTAATTACTTAAGATACTGTAAAAATAACAGCAACAGGGTTACCAAGATTTCTTTTCAAAAATATGTGAGTGGTATGGGTAATAAATGTGTGTGCAAAATATGAAATTGCTGAGTGTGTGCTAAATTGGTGTGCTAGAGGTTAATGTTAAGTACATGTAAGTGAAATGAGAATTATTTGGTGCTGACTCTGAACAGTGCATGTACAATAGGGGCTATAACTTGGTTTTTCTTCATAGCTTTTTATTTTTATTTTCACCAAACTTTACCATTTTACTCGGTAATGTATATACTTTCAAAAACTTACTTCATTTTAACATGTTAAAATGTAAAGTTTTCCTTAAAGGGAAATAGCCATGTGCTCAATGAACCTGACCTCTCACACATTTTCTGTGTTTCCAGACACTTTTTTTAAAGACAGTCACTGTTATTGGGTCTTAGCACATTTTGTTCAGTATGTGAATATATAGATAACTTGATAAATTGGGTTAAATCTGGGCTAAATATGGCTCTGTGCTAAAAGCCAGTATAGTTGGACTGACCCTAATTCACAGGTATTTAATTAGGATTGTGTTCAATTTACTGAAATAATTGATCTGCATGTGTTTCAATAGTACTATAATGATCTGTGTACTAGCTTTTAGCACCTGAATCTTCATAGAACAGAAATATAGTGTGCTGTCCTGCACAACTTTCACCCCTTACCCCTCCCTGTCAAACCACCTCTGCTCAGTCATTCTTAGGCCACTTCCCTCATTCAAATTATATTTATTTCTGTGTATAAAGACAGCAATGACTAAACTCAAGTTTAAAAACTCAATATCTCTAAAAAGTTTTAAATTGAAACTTAAATAACCTGTTTCAGCATACCCCCATGTGTAAAAAGTACACCACGGATTTTAGCACAAGTTACATAGCACATTATTCACACATTTTAANTTTATGACTTATGTTTTGTGTAGAATTTTGGAGTTTTGTGTGAATTCTAAGTGTGTTAAATTGTCAAAATTCTATCAAATTTACTAAAACAAAGTATTTAATTACTTAAGATACTGTAAAAATAACAGCAACAGGGTTACCAAGATTTCTTTTCAAAAATATGTGAGTGGTATGGGTAATAAATGTGTGTGCAAAATATGAAATTGCTGAGTGTGTGCTAAATTGGTGTGCTAGAGGTTAATGTTAAGTACATGTAAGTGAAATGAGAATTATTTGGTGCTGACTCTGAACAGTGCATGTACAATAGGGGCTATAACTTGGTTTTTCTTCATAGCTTTTTATTTTTATTTTCACCAAACTTTACCATTTTACTCGGTAATGTATATACTTTCAAAAACTTACTTCATTTTAACATGTTAAAATGTAAAGTTTTCCTTAAAGGGAAATAGCCATGTGCTCAATGAACCTGACCTCTCACACATTTTCTGTGTTTCCAGACACTTTTTTTAAAGACAGTCACTGTTATTGGGTCTTAGCACATTTTGTTCAGTATGTGAATATATAGATAACTTGATAAATTGGGTTAAATCTGGGCTAAATATGGCTCTGTGCTAAAAGCCAGTATAGTTGGACTGACCCTAATTCACAGGTATTTAATTAGGATTGTGTTCAATTTACTGAAATAATTGATCTGCATGTGTTTCAATAGTACTATAATGATCTGTGTACTAGCTTTTAGCACCTGAATCTTCATAGAACAGAAATATAGTGTGCTGTCCTGCACAACTTTCACCCCTTACCCCTCCCTGTCAAACCACCTCTGCTCAGTCATTCTTAGGCCACTTCCCTCATTCAAATTATATTTATTTCTGTGTATAAAGACAGCAATGACTAAACTCAAGTTTAAAAACTCAATATCTCTAAAAAGTTTTAAATTGAAACTTAAATAACCTGTTTCAGCATACCCCCATGTGTAAAAAGTACACCACGGATTTTAGCACAAGTTACATAGCACATTATTCACACATTTTAAAACCCAATTTAGCATTTAGAACCATTTTATTGTTCGGTATAATAAATGTGCTCATTCCAAGTGTATGACAGTTGTTAGCTGGCTTCTGCATGAAGTTGTGCTGTCATAGTTTCATATTCAGCCTCCCCAGATTTGAAGATGTTTTTCATTGAGTATTATGATTTTTGATTCTTTTATATTTGTCATAGGTTGTTTCTTTCTTCATAACAGTTATACCGTGCACAACAAGCGTATGAACAGCAAGTAGCCCCTCAGCACCACAGAACAAGCTATTACAAAAGTTGTACATGTGAGTATATGTATGTGTATGTGTCACATATAGGTTTTTTGGCTAAATCCAAATTAAATTCCTTTTTTTTTAGTGAATTGTAGATTTATGTTTATTCCTGTCATAATATATACCTTGACACACATCTTGTTTATTGATTTAATGTGTTTCTGTTGTGTGTTTACTCAGATTATTAGCTGTTTATAGCATTACATCTCCCCAACCCCCCATATTCTCCCTGTAAAGTGCCGGCACCCCAGGGAGAAAGAAGTGCTATATGTAAGTCTGTATAATTGATAGCTGATCAGTTAAGATGGATATCTGATAACCTTTTATGACTTATGTTTTGTGTAGAATTTTGGAGTTTTGTGTGAATTCTAAGTGTGTTAAATTATCAAAATTCTATCAAATGTACTCAAATTAAGTATTTAATTACTTAAGATACTGTAAAAATAACAGAAACAGAGTTACCAAGATTTCTTTTCTAAAATATGTGAGTGGTATGGGTAATAAATGTGTGTGCAAAATATGAAATTGCTGAGTGTGTGCTAAATTGGTGTGCTAGGTTAATGTTAAGTAAGTGAAATGAGAATTATTTGGTGCTGACTCTGAACAGTGCATGTACAATAAGGGCTATTACTTGGTTTTTCTTCATAGCTTATTATTTTATTTTCACCCAACTTTACCAATTTACTTGGTAATGTATATACTTTCAAAAACTAACTTCATTTTAACATGTTAAAATGTAAAGTTTTCCTTTAAGGAAAATAGCCATGTGCTCAATGAACCTGACCTCTCACACATTTTCTGTGTTTCCAGACACTTTTTATGTCTCCCACTTTTTTTTTAAAGACAGCCACTGTTATTAGGTCTTAGCACATTTTGTTCAGTGTGTGAATATATAGATAACTTGATAAAACTTAATAATTGGGTTAAATCTGGGCTAAATATGGCTCTGTGCTAAAGCCAGTATAGTTGGACTGACCCTAATACTCAGGTATTTAATTTTCGATTTTTGAGAAAATCTTTGTCCAAAACTTACCAAGGGAGTGAAAAAACTCAATATCTCTAAAAAGTTTCAATAACCTGTTTCAGCATACCCCCATGTGTAAAAGTACACCACAGATTTTAGAACAAGTTACAGAGCACATTATTCACACATTTTAAAGCACAATTTAGCATTTAGAACCATTTTATTGTTTGGCATAATAAATGTGCTCATTCCAAGTGTATGCTAGTTGTTAGCTGGCTTCTGCATGAAGTTGTGCTGTCATATTTTCATATTCAGCCTCCCCAGATTTGAAAATGGTTTTTAGCTCACCAGGCCCGAAGGACCAAGGTGAGCTTATGCTGTGACGCAGTGTCCGTCGTCGTCCGTTGCCAACTTTTTCTTTAAAACCTATCCCCTCCTAAACGCCAAAGAGGATTTCAACCAAATTTAGTCTGAAGCATCACTAGGGGAGGGCAATCATTTCCTAAATAAATGAGGTTGGTTCGACCCCTGGGGCCAGGGGGGCAGGGCCCTGAAGGGGAACTTAGCTAAATTTGCTTTAAAACGCATCTCCTCCTAAATGCCAGAGAAGATTACAACCAAATTTGCTCTGAAACTTCATTGGGGGAGGACAAACATTTCCTAAATAAATGAGACTGGTTCAACCCCTGGGGCTAGGAAGACCGAGCCCGAAAGAGGAAAATTATCTAATATTTTGCTTTAAGATGCTAAAATCCCCTAATTGCCTGAGTGGATTGTACAAAATTTGGTCAAAAACATTATTGAGGAAGAACAAACATTTCTTAATTGAATGAGGTTGATTTGACCCCTGCGGTCCTAAGAAATGGTACAGCTAGATTATCATATTCTATGGTGTAGTTTTCATAAATTGTTAAAAATTGGTTTCTAGGTTTATAAAAGCTTATAGTTGAATGAAAATTAAAGTATTGTCTAATTACACCCTGTAATAAGACATATTACTTATTTCAAAATCTGCTAATATGGCAACTCAATTGAGGCCTCTGATTAGTTGAAAGTCAGATATTGTGGTCCCAGTTGGGTAAGAACATACATCTTGTCTGGTTTTGAGGAAATTTTATATAAAGATGTACTAATGCATTCAGTTGTAATGACTTAAATATGAAACCAGGTGAGCGATACAGGTCCAATGGACCTCTTGTTGTTGAGTCCTATGATTTTTGATTCTTTTATATTTGTCATAGGTTGTTTCTTTCTTCATAACAGTTATACCGTGCACAACAAGCGTATGAACAGCAAGTAGCCCCTCAGCACCACAGAACAAGCAATTACAAAAGTTGTACATGTGAGTATATGTATGTGTATGTGTCACATATAGGTTTTTTGGCTAAATCCAAATTAAATTCCTTTTTTTTTTAGTGAATTGTAGATTTATGTTTATTCCTGTCATAATATATACCTTGACACACATCTTGTTTATTGATTTAATTTGTTTCTGTTGTGTGTTTACTCAGATAATTAGCTGTTTATAGCATTACATCTCCCCTACCCCCAATATTCTCCCTGTAAAGTGCCGGCACCCCAGGGAGAAAGAAGTGCTATATGTAAGTCTGTATAATTGATAGCTGATCAGTTAAGATGGATATCTGATAACCTTTTATGACTCATGTTTTGTGTAGAATTTTGGAGTTTTGTGTGAATTCTGGTTCTTCTTCTTCTGGTTCTTCTCATCACAACTTGTCTAGGCCATAACTTTTAAACTGTTAAAGATATTTTTGATGAATTTAGGTATGCATGCATCACCTACAGAAGGTGTGCAGTGCACTGGAATTAGGTCACCGTGACCTTCACCTCAAGGTCAACAGTCAAATAAGTGCAACATTTTCAGTAAATTCTTGTCCAGCCCGTAAATTTTAAACCGTCAAAGATATCTTAATCAAACTTGAAGTGTACCTGCATCACCCACAGAAGGTGTACAGTGCACTGGAATTAGGTCTCGTGCCCTACTATATACAGAGTTATGGCCCTTTGTTTAATTTTATTACTGAATTTTATATCAAAAACTGATTGGCTAACCTTGAACATCCTCAAAATTCCAGGGGTTATGCTCACCTACATTTTCTGGAACTCTGGGATATGTCGTGACAAAATCCAAGGTATGCAGAGTAAGCTATTTGATTGGTTTCAGGTAAAAAAAAAAACTTGACCAATCGCTAGACTGATACTTGTCCTTTGAAGATCACAAAGGAGCGACACCTGAATTCAAAGCTGGTCAATTTTACTGTCATGCTGCAGTGCTATTTTTTTTAATTCTTCAAGCGAACGCAACCCCTGGAAATACAAGGTTGGAGAAATACAGGTTCCACAATGAGTGGTGGTTGGTTATAATGCTTATCTAACTCCAGTAAGTTAATTTTCATATTGTATATAGACACAAGGTGTACTGAGTGTCTTTTGCAGTTTGAAAATTAAATAATAGGAGTAAGATAAACATGATAATCAACCATTACGGGTTACGTGACCTTTGTCTCCCACAACGTTCAGATGTATTTAGAAAACCATATGTTTCCTTTGGGAATACGTTGTTTCCAATTGGGAAAACAATTGTCATGAACTATGACACCATGGAAGATGACATCGTAAGGCATTGTTTTGTGACGTCATAATTAGAAGCTTGATAAATGAAATCATCTAGGGTGTAAACCACTAGTCGCTTACCAAAATGTTTACAAACTCCTAGCAAGTTTGTATACGCCCTTCAAATTTGACGGGAGTATTATGGTATGGCGTTGTCCGTCCGGTATAAAACTTTTGTTTGTCTGGCAATCTCCTCCTACATTTTTCAACCAAACTCTTTGAAACTTGGTATACATGATAATCATGATATGAAGTTGTGTCTCCCTTAAAAGAATTTTGATTCGACAATTTTTCCATAAGTTTTTGCCCTTTGTTCATTTCAGTATTTGATTTTTGTCCGGCAATCTCCTCCTACATTTTTCAACGGATCTCTTTGAAACTTGGTATACATTATAATCATGATATGAAGTTGTGTCTCCCTTAAAAGAATTTTGATTTGAAAATTTGTCCAAAAGTTATTGCCCTTTGTTCATTTCAGTATTTGATATTTTGTTTAGAGATTTCCTTCACATGTTTTGACAGATTTCTTTGAAACTTAGTAGGCTAAATAATCATGATATGTTGTTGTATTTCCTTGAAAAGAATTTTGATTCGACGTTTTTTGCAAAAGTTATTGTCCTTTGTTCATTTCAGTATTTGGTTTTTTTTTATCTGGAGATTATCTCCTACATTTTTATAGCATGTCAGCTAACCACTCTTTGAATGATGCAGATCTTATTTCAATGAAAGAAAGTATATAACACTATTCCGTCTTTGCGTATTGCTGAGTTATCTTCTCTTGGGAGCAGGTATTGCGATTGTTAAGTCACTTGTTTGAGAGAGTAATGTCATCAATTTTTGAGAAAACGACGTAATTTTCTCGCACAAACCAATGACGTAACAATCAATACCTGCTCCCAAGAGAAGATAACTCTGCAATACACAAAGATGGAATATGGCATTCGATGGGAGTATATTGTTCCGCCCCGCGGTACTCTTGTTCCAATTAGTCGGGAATGAGGAAACCTATAGCAGTTGTGGGAGAAATCAATTGCCAAAGCCTTGACACCAGCTTAAACCTTTGCTACATGTTCCCCATACTGAAGTTGAGGTTGACAGTTGACCTACTAAACTTTGTGCTATTGTTTTGCTGTCTGGCTGTGTTTTAATGGAAATTTTCTTTGTTTTACAGATGGCAATTCCTAGAGATACTAGCATAGGGATGGATACCAATGATTCTGTACCACTTGACAGCACAAAGATCATTGGAGATGCTGCATCTAACGAACAACCCTCTACCCCCACAACTTCTGATTGTGAGAAAACATGTATTAAACCAAGGAACACTATTCTAAATGGGAATGTGCCAAACAATGGTAATACTATTCCAGATGACTACAAAACAAAAGTTAAGAAAGGCACCAACACAGGAAACACTGTCCTTGATCAGAATACACAAAGTTCTGTCTCTTTTAACAGTAATAGTACACCTGAGAAAGTGCCAATCTCTGACACTGGCAAAAATGCTCTCAATGGACATAGACCAGAAACTGAAACAAGGAATCATGTTGCAAATGAAAATGGTAATATAAGAAATGTTGACACTAAGATCTCTGGTAAGGCAGACTGTGAAGCCAGTACTAGTGTTGACACTGTTTTCACTGACCAGGATAACAGCGAACTTGACGTTAACCCTGGGATCACTGACCAGGCTAGCAGGGAACTTGGTGTTAACCCTGATATCACTGACCAGGCTAACAGTGAACTTAGTGTTAACCCTGGGATCACTGACCAGGCTAACAGTGAACTTGGTGTTAACCCTGATATCACTGACCAGGCTAGCAGGGAACTTGGTGTTAACCCTGGGATCACTGACCAGGCTAACAGTGAACTTAGTGTTAACCCTGGGATCACTGACCAGGCTAACAGTGAACTTGGTGTTAACCCTGAGATCACTGACCAGGCTAACAGTGAACTTGGTGTTAAAACTGAGATCACTGACCAGGCTAACAGTGAACTTGGTGTTAACCCTGAGATCACTGACCAGGCTAACAGTGAACTTGGTGTTGACAATCAGATCACAGACACAGAGGTCACTGAGGTAACTGACCAAGCCGACACCAATAATGTCTGTGAACCTACAACATACGACCCATCACCTGACCTTGCTATTTCAGACAACATAGAAAACAGAATTGGTTATGAGTGCAATGCTGTTATAGCAGTGAGTGATGACCACAGAGAGTTTGTTGTAGAACCAGTGATCTATGTTACACCAGGAATGCTGTTCCTGCTGATCTTCCTATTGCTGTCTTTAACACCTGATATATCATACAGGAGAATATAAGAATCAGTCTATTCTCCTGTCTTGTCAGATTGTCATGATCAACATCAGCCGAGTTACAGTCCTAAAATCTTATTTTATTTTATTTTGTATTCTGGAAATCTGGGCCACATTTGTTTAATGTATGATCATGAATTATGTAATACCCTAAAGCAGGATATTTCCACAGGGATAACAATTTTCGCGATTTCGCTGGTTAATAACGTGATCATGAAAATATGATCTGCAGAATAATAATACAAGTGAAACATTTAGCTGTGATGATAAACTTCATAACCGTTATGTTGTCATGGAATAGGGAACATGTGGTCATGACGATTAGTATACATCAGGAGTAATAATAATATGTTAGGATATAGATTATGTCACACATCTGATAGTTTTGTTGGTAACACTTGGTTGTTGTTGCTCCATATGATGTTATAAAGCATTTGACTTTCTGAAACCTTACAACACCCCAAAAATTGAAATCATTCACATGTAGTTCACAAAAACAAATTTCCAGTTATTACATAAGTTAGTAATACAATATGATAACTGGCATACTGTATGTTAATTATTACATATGTTTGTAATAATAAATGATAACTGGTGTGTATGTTAATTATTACATATGTCAGTAATACTAAATGATAACTGGCATACTGTATGTTAATTATTACATATGTCAGTAATACTAAATAATGTGTGTTTGACATGTATTAAGTTAAGCAATACATGTTGTAAAGCTTTCAGCTGCGAGTGTCAGCAGCTTATATCATTAAACCTATAATCAATATATTTGTTTTGTTGTTTTTTTCTCCGCGATTTATCTTCTCGTCCAACTTTCAAAGATCAAGGTCATTGTTACTAAAAATAGTCGATGGGTTTCTGATCAATAGCTCAAGTTCCCATTGGAAGATAACACTCAAAAATTTGCTAGTTTTGGATTGTTTTTTTCAGGTCGAAAGATCAGCGATCTAGGTCACTATTACTAGAAAATCAGTTTCCAACAATAACTTGAATTCCTGTTGGCTTATCAAACTCACATTTAATACACTCTGGTTTTTCATGGAGTGTGCTTGGTAGGGAAGGCTTTTAAGGTCTGAAGATCAAAGTCGAAGCTTTTTAATAGAAAATTGGTTTCAGCTTAACATCTTTTAGTAGTCATGGGGGCTTATTGTTACATTTCATAGTGTTCGATCCCTGATGGAAAGTTCATGCTTATATTTATTTAAGATTTTTAGAGCTATCTCTGCCATTATCTTGTTATGGATTTCTTATTTGTTATATGTAGGTACATCATAGGAAACACTCTAACAGGAGAGGAAAAATGCACAGCCAGACCTGGAATTGAACCCTGGACCTTCCAAACTGTAGACAGATGCTCTACCAATTGAGTTATCTGGTCACCGGTGAACAACCCAGTCCTATTCTGCTGCATTCTTCCCTCCTTTCTTTAAGTTTTCAGTCCAGCAGACAATACTATTTAGAACACAGGTTTGGGTTTTTCTCTTGCCAAGAATTCACCCAGCACTTGAAACAATGGTTGGTCACAGGCACCACTGTTACAGGAGAGGAAAACTCCACAGCCAGACCTGGATTAAAACCCATGACTCTCCAAACTCTAGACGGACGCTCTACCAATTGAGCTACCTGGTTGGCAGCAAATACAAAGTCAAGTTCCGCTCTACACATACAAAAATTTCAACACCTGAAATTGACCCTCAAATATCAGAATATGGCTTTATTTAGCATTATATTTCAGCCACAAGTGTTTCATGTGTGAACTTCAGACTGGGTATGTATAAGTTCATCGTTAGAATGTGCTGTTTTGAACCTCGGTCACCAATAATTGTTGGTTTATGAGTCATCTGTTCAGCCAGATACTCATTAGAAGAAGCACTGTGTTAATAGGTACCAGTTACTGACACCATACTAAGTGAACACTGGGTATTAAGCACTGCATAATTGTTTTTGTTTGGAAAACTCTTTTTGTTACATTTTTTTGGAATGAAGGGAGATAACTTGTTTTTAGTACTGGTTCTTCTAATAATTTCTTGTCCGAGCCGTACATTTTAAACTATTAAAGATATCTTCAACCACAAACGTGCAATGCACTCGTTTACCTAGATTTCTTAACCATGTCGTATATGTAACAAATATCTACTCTTCTAGACATAGAGTCGCCTCTTTCATAGTATCGATGACCATTAGAAAATTAAGTCCTACGGTGCACTATCAATAGGTCACTATGACCTAGACCTCAAGGTCAACGAACAAATAAGTGCATACTTTTTAGTCACATCGAGTCTAAGCTGCAACTTTTATACCATTACAAATATCTTGATGAAACTTGCATTATACCTTAATCAACCACAAACATTGTGCAGTGCACTGACAATAGATCAGTGTGACCTTGATCTCAAGGTCAAAGGTCAAATAAGTGCAAAATTTTCAGGAACAACTTCTCTGGGCAATAAGTTTTAAACTGTTCTGTTTCCCCTTTGAATGAAAGGAAACCTATTGTTTTAATACTGGTTCTTCTTCTGGGTCTTATATTTTCTTCCATGAAAATATCTTGATGAAACTGCAGTATACCTACATCAACCACAGATGATGTTCAGTGCACTGTTAATAGGTCACTGTGACCTAGACTTCTAACGTCACCCGGAGTACCCGGAAAAACCCCACATGGTCGGCCAGGTAACCCATACCTTTTCACGTCCGATTGGGGAATCAAACCCGGCCGCCCCGGTGAAAGGTGAGTGTGATATCCACTGCGCCACCCGACCACCTCAAACCCAGGATCTCTGGTTTACTAGTCTAACTCACTACTGAATGAACTAAAGAGAAATTCTCTCTAGTTGAGGGATATGGAAGTGGCTTGTATTTTACCAGGGTGACACGATATTTGACATTTAGTTTGCTATGACGATAACACTAGCAAGACTTTTTCCATGTAAATCCCATTGATCCATATTCAAGGTCACAGAGTTCAAATGTGTTATCTATTTCTACAAAAGTTGGAGGTCTAAAATCATCATATTTGGCATGTAGCTTGCTGAGGTTAAAGGTGCCAAGTTTGTTATAGTAAAAGAACTTGAACTACGTATAATTATATGGATTATTAGCTCACCTGAACCAAGAAGCTATTGCCATGGCTTTCGACACCCCCCTTCCACACACCTAAATAAAGTTGAGTCTTTAAATCCCAATATTCCTTAAGTATGGAAAAAGTGATGTTAACTTAATTTGGTTTGAAGCAGCATCCATGGGTGAAGGGGACTCAGCATTCTATTAACTGGTTAACAGCTTTGTTCCCCCTGGAGGCAGAGGATGTGGTCAAATCGGATTAATAAAAGTATTACTATATAACATCCTACTCCTTTAGCTCAGATAAAGGGCTCATCACCTAAGACTGTATGGAGAATTCTTGGGTTAAGGGAACCCAGCATTTTATAAATGAAGAGTTGGGGTGGGACCAATGGGGGAATGAAGACAAAATTCCTACTTTATCAGTGCTGTCATGACTTTGTCAGGTATTTTTGTAAGAGTTGTTGTTCTAACCTTATATCTACCTGCAGCTTATGAAAATCAGTGGTCTTGTAAAACCAGTTTAGCAGGTTAAGAACTCTTCATTAATGGAGGTTGTATTGTTGTATTACTTTCATTTTCTGTGTCTGCGGGTTTGCTGTCAACAGAATTGTGTACAGTCATATATTTGTGCGGTAGTTTAATAAGTGGTTACAAGTACTTGTTTGCATCCTTAGCTAACCAATTTATTCACGTTTCTGTAATTTTTTGTACTTATCACAATAATTTTTGCTGAAGTTCTTATCTTAAATCATACATGGTTTACCATATTTTAAGTAGTATTTTATGATCTTTATTTAGTCCCCCCTGTTTGTGTGTGATTTCCTATATTCATATTATATAAGATCAGTAGTTTAGTGGGGTATCGTTTTGTATTCTGTAGCATTTTACCTTCAATACTTCACTTCTATAATTCTGCAATAAACACAATCAACACTACAGTTCAGCAGTCTACTATATGAACTTTGACCCTTTGTCGAAAATATTATATTTCAGGTTCTTTGAGGTTATACTTTCTGCACCGAGCAAAACAAGTACAGCTAATATTCAAGTGATTTTACAACTACCAGTAATTATAATAGCATACTTGGACAAAAGGGACTCAACATCCTTTTAAAGCTAAAATTGTATAAAAGAAGGTTCACAGTGCCTCCCATAGGGCTGATGAGTGGGGCTTGGTTGGGGAAATAAAGGTACATTTTTAAATGCCAAAAAGGATTTTACCCTTATTTGGTTTTAGGCATTCTGGGAAGGGAACTCGGCTTTGCATAAACAAAGAGTGTGCCTCCTTTTCCCAATGGCTGGATCCAATAGGTTGAAAAATAGATAACAGTTGCCTTTTCCTTCATGATCGATCAGATGGATAAAAATGATTTTAATCTAATACAATATCTACGATTACTTTATTAAATGAACTAAATATTTCATAAATGATAATGAGCCCCACTTTTCCTCCCCTCTCCGGGCAAGTAGTTGGGCCCAGGAAACAGACATAAATAGTTAAAAGACCTAATTGGAACTCAACTGTGTATAAATAAAGGGTATGCTTGCATGACTGACCAGCGACATCAAATACATTGAAATATGCAGAAGTTACAGTTTGTATTTTAATCGTGTGTAACGGGGTGTTTCCGGAAAGAAATGGTGGTAACACCTCTATGGAAAAAAAAAGAGATGTTTGCAAAATCTTTAGATGATGAAAGGGAATGGTATTACAAATATCAATGCTCTATTTCAACGACAAAAATAAATAAATATGCATCAAAAATTATATTACTAAACTTTTGTACACAGCCTTTACTACAATATTCATTATAGGAATTTCAACTGATCTTTTTGTTTATTAGTATGTCCCAAAACAAAAACTTCCTCTGCGCATGTACAGGTAGTGTACTCGTCATCATCCGATCCGCTGTGCTCGTGGTCAGCTGATTTACAAAACTTTAACTGCAATTTGAAGATTACAAGGTATAAACAGGTATTTATCAGTCAAGTATCGCATTCAATAAAACCCCCCACCAAAAACCACACTATTATATATAATAACTGCAATGACAAATAGATCAGGCGAATGGCTGAATGTGTTTGTAAGGGGTTTTTAAAGTGTACTCCAGGTAATGACAAATTTTGAGCCAACCATTGACTAAATTATTGTCGCATATGAACAAAATTGAATGCCACTGAATGTTCAGCACTTGCTAAACTTGTCTATACTTATCTTAATATGTCACTGAAGTTGACTGAGGGCGCGGGTATCATACAGGATATTTATTCTTGTTAGGTAGATAGATAACAAAAGGTCTGTCATTATCACATACACCAGTGTTAAAGGAATACTGTGAATGGTAATAATGTTGCTTTTTTATGTACTTGAGATTGGGGATCTAGGAGGGTGGGGATCTAGGAGGATGGGGATCTAGGAGGTTGGGGATCTAGGAGGGAGGGGATCTAGGAGGGTGGGGATCTAGGAGGTTGGGGATCTAGGAGGGTGGGGATCTAGGAGGTTGGGGATTTAGAAGGGTGGGGATCTAGGAGGTTGGGGATCTAGGAGGGTGGGGATCTAGGAGGTTGGGGATTTAGAAGGGTGGGGATCTAGGAGGTTCGAGATTTAGAAGGGTGGGGATCTAGGAGGTTGGGGATCTAGGAGGGTGGGGTGGGGATCTAGGAGGGTGGGGTGGGGATCTAGGAGGGTGGGGATCAATTGGCTCATGGTCTTTAATAGCCAGCACACCAGCATCATTCTGTGCTGGATGCTGTATTGGACCGTCAAGGATTTCCACTGCTACAGGATTATGTTGGTGTTGATGCTGATTGTATAACTGGATCGGTTAATATTCCCCTGTTAATGTTGTGTCATGTTTAACTTCTGAAATATTTTGGACTTACAATATTTCTATATAAGATATTTCATAGGGGGTACATTTTTGGGTGGGGTATACAAAGTATCCGGGGAGTTTGAAGTTGTAGAGAGGTTGGGTAATGACTATAACATAACTGTAAATGTTTCTATATGCCTCCCCAAAACTTACTTTTGCCAGTGATCAGAAATTATCTTGCAATCATTTCCTGGCAATGGGGGTGGGGATTTGGTGGGGAAGGGATGGGTTAATATACCATTGTCATCACTTATTCCATTTCTTTACTCTTTTGAATTTAAAAAATTGAAATATAGGGGGAGGGGGAGGAGGGGTATAAAGAAGTCTTCAGATGTTTTCTATGCAGAAGCTAAATTTTATGCATGACACTGGTCTGGCAAATTGGCCCACTTGCATTTTCACACTCAGATTATACTGTTGTAGATTTTTTTATATTTCATCTTCATCTTAGGCCTTTTTTCCCATAAATGAATCAAGAAATTGAATAATAAATGATATTGTCATGCTGGGGAAAAAAATCCAATGCATATAGTTACAGTTTATGATAGTGGCACAGGAATCCTTAAGGATTATGACTTGTGCAGTTGTACCCTTTACCTTAACTCATTCCCCCCCCCCCCCCTGAAATTTCACAATGAACTATTCCAACCTTTAAATGTGTCTTCAATGAGTTAATGACTGAATTGATGTTTAAATTAACAAATCACCTGTTGGCACTTTAAAATGGGTTTCTAACTTTCCTTTCATTGATAAAAGAAAAGTATTTTATCACAAACGCCATCCATCTTAACTCTATAATCTCTGTCTATCCATCTTAACTCTATCTCTGTCTATCCATCTTAACTCTATCTCTGTCTATCCATCTTGACTTTATCCATCTTGCCTCTGTCAATTTTGACTTTGTGTGTCTGTTCATCTCACTGTCTGTGCATATAATTTACTTAAAATTCTTTGTTGTTTTGCTAAAGCACCAAACCAAATAAGGTTTTGTGATTCTTTGATTTTCACAAAATCAGTGTTCTTAGCTAGAGAAGTATATATTAATGAATTATATAAGAAATAGGAGCATTTGTACGCATTTGTTTTATTCACATAATACCTCTGTTTATAGGGTGTTTTTTTTTTCAGAATCCTAAGAAAGCAATATCATAATGGCTGTCCGCGATCATGAAGTGTCATCGTTCCTGAATCAAACAAGAGCTCTGCACAAGAGGAACAGATTACAGAAAAAGCAGTGTGTGATATACCATCAGACCAAGAGTTTTAAATTCAAAAGGCAGAATCTCATGTGGAACAATCTGTACTTATTGGTGCCAAAATAAGAAGCACAATTAAGCCTTGTGGAAGTGTGAAGGGATATATATGTGCTTTATCAGAGGAGAGTTCAGAAAGTGATTTTGATGAGACAACATTAGATGATTTGACAGTTCAGTCAGGTGAAGGTGCTAGTCGTCTCGAGAATTCACAGGACAACAGGAATGCGGAAGTGTTATCATCTGCCGAGGACAACTTCGTCATTGATATGAAGAAAATTGACCGTTATCAGCGTTCATTTGTTCAGGATTATGCAGAAAAGGAGAATGATCAGTTCCATATTCTGGATACTAGTGAAAATGACCAGTTCCATGTACTGGATACTAGTGAAAATGACCAGTTCCATGAACTTGATACTAGTGAAAATGACCAGTTACATGTACTGGATACTAGTGAAAATGCCCAGTTCCATGTACTTGATACTAGTGAAAATGACCAGTGCAATGTACTGGATACTAGTGAAAATGAACAGTTCCATGTACTTGATACTAGTGAAAATGACCAGTGCAATGTACTGGATACTAGTGAAAATGAACAGTTCCATGTACTTGATACTAGTGAAAATGACCAGTTCCATGAACTTGATACTAGTGAAAATGACCAGTTCAATGTACTTGATACTAGTGAAAATGACCAGTTCAATGTACTTGATACTAGTGAAAATGACAAGTTCCATGTACTGGATACTAGTGAGAATGACCAGTCCAATGTTCTGGATACTAGTGAGAGTGACCAGTCCAATGTTCTGGATACTAGTGAGAATGACCAGTCCTATGTACAAAATTCTTGTAAACCAAAACATCAGATAGTTCCTGTACTATATGTCTTGAGACACAGGAAGGAAGACCTTATTATTGTAAACGAATCTCCAAAAGATATTGTATCTGGGATGGTCTACATGTACATGCTGTGTGCTCTCCTCTGCCCTAATGAAGTGTATGGCCTATTTGCTTGGAAGGCATGCATGAAGCCTGTCTGCCATTCACTTGTTGTGAAGGACTTGGATATTATAAGAAAAGTTTGTTTCTACAAGTCTGATCAGCAAAAGTACGGAAACAAAATTCCTGGAAGTTTATCTACGCAGCTGTACAATCAAGTAGTCCAAGTGTATGCTGTAGTTAATAATAACTACATGTATGGTAATGGAGTTCTCACACAGACTAATACTGATGTGTTGGCTGTCTCAGACCACGAGTCGCCTCTCCAGTTATTTAATCCACAACAACACCAACATAATCCTGCTGCAGTGGAAATCCTTGACGGTCCAATACAGCATCCACAACAGAATGATGCTGGTGTGCTGGCTATCGCAGACCATGAGTTGCCACTCCAATTTTACAATCAGTATCAACACCAAAATAATCCTGCAGTGGAAGACCTTGAAGGTCCAATACAGCATCCAGCACAGAACTGTGCTGGTGTGCTGGCTATCGCAGACCATGAGCCAATTGCAAATCCTCATAATCAACAACAGCAACAAAATGATCATTGGGCAGCTGTTCTTCATGCTGGTCACATTCAGCAGCTTGCACTGGGGATTGCTGTTGTGGTAGAAACAATAATGCAGATGTTCTTTATTTACCAGGTAGTTATGGCAACACTACTACAGATCCCTTTCCTGTAGCCTGTATATATTGCATTATTGATTTGTTGGGCCCTTTTCTGATACACTGGTTTATAATAGATTTTGTTTGAAATTCTGCTACTTAGTACACCTCATACGAGTTTGTGTTTCAGTGGTCCGCAGTTAAGGTCGCCATTACTATTTATAGGATGTTTTGTCAGTGTCCCGTGGTCCACAGTTATGGTCGCCATTACTATTTATAGGATGTTTTTGTCAGTGTCACTACACTAGAGGCTTCATTCCTGCTTGGAATTTGATCAGATCTTCTTATATTACCTGATTACCTCTTCGTCGACACTGTTGTTAGCTTGAAGTAGCTGAGTAGCATCTTGGTTCGGTAACATACTGTTAATGGCCATGCATGAGCTCAAGAAAACCTTGAACAAAGGTCACCATCAGTATTTATAGAAAATGTTTTGTTTCGAATTCAAGATTTTTGATGTTTTCATCCTTATGACATGAAAATGTAGTCTCCTACTTTGCTTCATGAATTTATATGTGATATTGTTTATTGTATATATATCTTTTAATAGCAAATTGTATTAATGATTTCTGAGTGAACGTATATGGTATCCACTAATGCCAATTAATGCAGAAGTTGAATGTGGTAACAATGCCAGACAAAAATCATGATTTTTCAAAGTCATCAGAATGTACTAAATTAGGACATTTAATGAAGTTACAAATTGGAAACCAGACTTGAATTTGAAATGAAATGAGATTCATTAGTTAGGTATGAATAAAAAATAATTAATTTGTTTAGAATACAAACAGTGAAAAACAGTAATTGAAAACTTTTTTTGTAAGTTATTTTACATCGAAGATACCAAAGAAACAATACAAGAAATTTTCCCCACTTCGTGTATTGTTGTTCGGTGTGGAGCGGATGTTCTCTTTACCTAATACAGAAATTATCAAAAGCACAGAAACAAGCTGCAATATTGCTTTTCGATGCTCCTTTTGACACCCCATATGGGGAAATGTTTTCTGTATTAAGATGGATACCAATTAGCGATTATTTGAAATTTAAGAGGTGTTATGGTGTATAAATGTGTCAATAATCTTGTACCTGAACACCTAATCTACACAGTTCATTTTTTCTAATGACACCTGTACAAGATCAGCTTCCCAAAACTTTATACAAGTACCAAAACATCGTACTTCTTTTTATTCAAAACAGTTGGTGGTGGAAGGGAGCCAAATTTGGAACAGCTTACCAGTAGAAACACGACTTTCTTCCTCCCTTCCTAAATTTAAACAAAACATGATTGAAAGCATTAGGAATACAGTTGGAGTCTTTTTTGGTATTTTTATCAAAGAAACCTCTTTATAGCTTTTTGATGTTTTTTGTTACGCCATTTTAGCGTGTATGGTGTCAATTTTTAGTTTTTGCTACATTAGCATATTATGTATGTAATTTAGACATTTAGTCTTTTACTGAATACCATATTGGTTCAGCTTAGAATAGTGTATCTTTGCTTCTGTGATAATTTAATGAAAAGTGTAAATGACCCTTTAATTGTATATATATTCAGTCTAATTATAGTAATTTAATAAGCTCAACTACTTTTATGCCTATGCTTACTGTGATAATAATTTGAATGCTCATTTGTTTTCTATTATATCATGATTTTAACTAACCCTTTTACTAACAGAGGTGATTTTAACTAACCCTTTTACTAACAGATGACCCTGTGGAAGATTAACTTTGCTAAACAGTTTTTTTTTATCCTCAATGAATAAAGTTTATTATTATCATTATTATTATTACCATAGTGTTATAGTGTAAAGTAACTGCTACAGATATCATATCATGTTTTATGCAGTACATTATTGCCTCCCACCACACTGACGTCCGACAGTATCAGTACATTACTGCCTCCCACCACACTGACGTCCGACAGTATCAGTACATTATTGCCTCCCACCACACTGACGTCCGACAGTATCAGTACATTACTGCCTCCCACCACACTGACGTCCGACAGTATCAGTACATTATTGCCTCCCACCACACTGACGTCCGACAGTATCAGTACATTACTGCCTCCCACCACACTGACGTCCGACAGTATCAGTACATTATTGCCTCCCACCACACTGACGTCCGACAGTATCAGTACATTACTGCCTCCCACCACACTGACGTCCGACAGTATCAGTACATTACTGCCTCCCACCACACTGACGTCCGACAGTATCAGTACATTATTGCCTCCCACCACACTGACGTCCGACAGTATCAGTACATTACTGCCTCCCACCACACTGACGTCCGACAGTATCAGTACATTATTGCCTCCCACCACACTGACGTCCGACAGTATCAGTACATTACTGCCTCCCACCACACTGACGTCCGACAGTATCAGTACATTATTGCCTCCCACCACACTGACGTCCGACAGTATCAGTACATTACTGCCTCCCACCACACTGACGTCCGACAGTATCAGTACATTATTGCCTCCCACCACACTGACGTCCGACAGTATCAGTACATTACTGCCTCCCACCACACTGACGTCCGACAGTATCAGTACATTATTGCCTCCCACCACACTGACGTCCGACAGTATCAGTACATTACTGCCTCCCACCACACTGACGTCCGACAGTATCAGTACATTATTGCCTCCCACCACACTGACGTCCTACAGTATCAGTACATTACTGCCTCCCACCACACTGACGTCCGACAGTATCAGTATAAGAACATGATGTACGAGAGTGTTGCAGCACCCCTGTACAGACATGATTGACATTGATGTGTAATATAAACTAGTGAACTGTTTTTATTGTGCTGGTGAAGTAACTAATTGATGACTTCAGAAGACCATGGCCAGGCCTGCTACAAATTTGGTGTCAGAAGTGGGATGTCTTCAATGTAATAGACATCCTGTGATGTACCTGAAGTTCCTGAATCTCTCTACTTAAGACTTAGTGTGGTGGCTCTTCATTTTTTTCAATAAAATATATTTTCTACTGTTGCTAGTTTATTTTTGCACACTGTTATCGGTGCTACTGCCACCCTTTTGCTGAGATGAGGCAATATCACACCTGAGCCTTATGATGTAAAAGATGACTGGGATTACATATGCTAAAAAACATAAAATAATTGTGAAATGCACTAATGTAACGGTTCCTGACTTGGAGCGAGTGCCCCCCCCCCCCCCTTTTTTTTTTTGGGGGGGGGGGGGGGGGGGGGGGGGCGTACACCCATTACGCCTCACCTGGACCGGCCCCTATATTATAGAAGACTTTCATGCCCAAAATCAAAATGCTTGCTTGGGTCTGATTTTCATTAGTCCTCTTGGTGCTCGGTTGCACACAAGGCCATCACCAGATATTTCCATTTCTGCCTGTGTTGGGACCACTGGTGTATTTGTCCCCATGTCCAGTCTTTCTCTTTCAGTTCTTTCTCAACAGACCACCTCCAGGTTTCCTTTGGTCTTCCCTCTCTTTCCTGTCATGGTGGTGTCCATCTCATTGCTACCCTCGGGATGGCATCTGGGTGTCCAATCTAGTAACTACCGGTACATAGAGAAAAAATAGGTCAAGGTCACCATTAACTGTTCCATCAATATAACTCACACTTATCCCGGTAATATTTTTGCAAATTTCTGTTTTTTTTGTGGGGGTGTTTCAGGTAAAATCATCAAATATAATGTGTTTGTTCAGTTTCTGTAATAGGAAATAAATTTCCATACAAAATCATGCGTTCCCATGGATAATTATATGGGATTTCGACCCTTTTCGATGGAGTTATGCCCCTTTTTGTGAAATACTTGTTGGCGCAACTCCTCCTTAACTAACAGGTGGATTTCATTGAATTTTTCCATGAATTATCAGTATCTGATGTAGTTGTGCACCGGCATTTTCATTTGGGATTTCCACCCTTTTTGATGGAGTTATGCCCCTTTTTGTGAAATACTTGTCCGCGCAACTTTTTTGGGGATTTTTGTTCAAATTTTCCAACCAATCCTGCTCTTTCAGACACAATACCAAAATACTACACAGATCACTTCCTCACCACAGTTTGTCTTTCCTTGGCCAGTGACCGATTCAGGGGTTATTTAGGTTACACTATATATACGGTTTTGTGATATTATGTTTGCAGAGGTTTTTCAAATAAAAAATGATCATAATTCCAAAAGTCAAATATATGTAATATTTCATGTACACATCATATATTGTTACTGTGTATTACAATGATATTGATATTTATTGCCGTTATATTGTCTGAATGGACTTTCGTATCATTTTTATTTGCGTCCATTTTATTATCTCCCATACCACCAGATATAGTAACAGGTCTACATATCAACTAGATAACGAATTGCTTTTACATATGCAAGGGATATTTGCATTCAGATATATTTGTGGAAGTTTTGACCCTTTAACAAAAATATTATTTATCCTGCTAAATACATTGAAGGATAACTCTCAAATAAACATAACTTGGCAGAAGCAGGGTATTAGTCAGCCATCCTGGCGACAGCTCTAGTTCCAACTAAAATTTCATAGAAATTTTCCCTTGTCAGAGGTGCTTGCTTTGCATTGCCTAATAGGCTGCTACTAGTCTTACTACATGTAAAAATAAACTATTTCAAGTAGTATCCAATTTTATAGCCTCTTCAATCCTCATTTTGATCCTCCAGATAATGCCATCTATGTAGTCGAAATCTCAAAAGATGTGTTAAAATTGATTAGAAAGAAAACCTTTAATGGTTCCTGTGAAGAATGCAGAATTTTTATTTAGCATGACACTGCCTTTATAATTGGACTCAACTAAGTGGTGCTTGATACAGTGACCTGGTTGTATGGTTCCCATGGGTATAGAGCGGTCTCAGGGTAGAGTCGACAAGACAATCTTTATCACACAGGCCTGGTTATCCTCGGGAGGCTTAAAAGTGAAGTCTGGGCCTGTATTGATGAAACCATTCTCATGCTCAAACTAAGATATTGTGCTTAAATCCAATTTCTTATTCCAATGATGAATTAATAAAAAATTACATTTTGTCAATTATCTTATTCTGGTAGAATTTTGGAAAGACTTCAGATCAATGATTGTTTTTGACCGTGTGACATCATTTTAAGCTAGTTACAAGGATGAAAGTTTGAGCACAGAATCCATGCTTTAGAACAAGAACAGTATCATGAATGTAGCCCCTTATCTTACATGGATAGGAGTATATTACGAGGTGAATCTTCTTACTTCACTTAGTATGGCCTATCAAGACAGACTTCCATAAATTATATCACCACAGTACTTGAACTGTACAGTTAGACTCATGTTCAATTCTTAATACATTGTAACACCTATAAAACAAACTCCAATTCTCATTTCATGGATGTATTTCTTACAATATCATTTTTTTTTTATCTAATATAATTTTTCACTCCTAGGATTTCATCACATGTGTAAATTACTGCAGTCCATTTAATTTGATGAGAGGATCATGAAACAGGATTAAGACACAAATGAAAAACAGGTGATTTGATGCACTTTGTTAAATGTGTATTAATGTGTTGAATATGTAGTTTCATAAATTTCATACTGTATAGTTCATAATATCTGCGGGGCAATTTAAAGTTCCAATATTCGCGGTCAGCAAAGATAGTGTAAAAAAAAATTTACCAAGAATATATTAATACCATGAATGATAATCTCTGTGATTTTTTATTTACTGGTACATATAAAAAAAACATCTGTTTACTTGTTTACGGCCGAATAATGAAGATAAAACCATTCAGTATCATATTTACTTTATTTTCACAAAACACTTGTAAAACAACTCTCATCACCTAAATACTTAAGTACCTTCGTCAGCGTGAGATTTCTACCTGGCTGTGTTGCCCGAAATTTCATCCTCGCAAGCTAGTTCTGTTCGGTGCAAAGTACTAGCCCCGCTAAAATTTAACCACTACACAGTACATAAGTTTCTTTCTATCACATTACTAAACATGTATGCAAATTAATGTCAAAATAAATATAGTATGGCGGCAATTTGATGAAATGTACAGAAATTCAACAAACAGCATTCGTCCAATTCTTTTAAAATATCTCATTCATCAAACCAAACGAAGGAATATTTACGACATTAGAGACCATCTTCCCAATCATTTGTTTTAGAATAATATAACCTGATTGAGCCACATGCTTCCTCTGTACAAGGTTCTGTCTCCTGCAGTGCCAACATATTTATATGTGTCATCCATTTCCTTCATTCCATTCCATTAATAAACTTTTGTGTACATGATTACCAGTCTTCCATTCCACATACAATAATAGCTCACACTGTAACAGGGTATAAACAAGAGGCCCACAGGGCATGTGTCACTCAACTGGATATTTGTCAAAATATTCTCGTTAAATGTTACTGCAAATATTAACAAATATTTTATCTGTCTTTCAGCAACACCCTTACAATGTTGGGTCCTATCCCCCTGTCCCCATTGCAATACAACATTGAATCCTATTGTCCGAGGATACTCTATATAAAATTTGGTTTAGATCCCTTCTTCTGTACGGAACAAGAAGGATTTTAAGATGGCCTACGGTGCCTGTGACCAAAACCTTTATTCGAGTACTATGTTTCTGCTTGGCAAGGTGATACCAGAACTAGAGTCGTAAATACCATGATAGTCTTTTGGAGCAAAGAAAAGAAAAAGGAGGGAGGAATGTAGCAGAATTGAGTTGGGTTGATTGCCAATGACCAGGCGGGTTCGGGGTTCAAGTCCTGATCTGGTTGTGTGCTTTCTCTCCTGTTACAGCATAGCTACGGATCTTCCATTCCGCTTACTATTGTTTACATATCTACCAACCTGCCACTCAACTCACAATTTTGTTTACACATTTACCAACCTTCCATTCAACTCACAATATCTAATTTAGTTATAAGCTTTTATACAATGTTTCGAAGAAAAAAAAAAGGGTTCTGAGAGAAACCAGCATATGATTCTCATGTCAGTAATATTGACTAAATATAAGCTCAGCATCAGTTGTGTGGTAACAGTATAAATTTCCTTTTTTATTCTGACACAGTCAAATAGCATGCACCCTTTCTCAAAAGCTGTTCTTACAACAATATAACATCACTAAGCTGTTATCAGATAAAATTCAGGGGTAAACTAATTTAAGTTCTTTTTGTACATTCATCTGTGCCTATCTATGATTGCATTTAACTGTGCTTAAATATGTTTGTTTACAGAACACTGAGGGAATTATTGAACAATGTCAAGGCCACCTGCATGACACTTTTGTGGTCAGGTGTTTATTCACTGGACATTGTACATGTATTGAGGATCCCTGTTCTATGGTTTTTCCTATATACAGTAACCTCCCCTTTTGGATATAGATGTAGCACAGTTGTGCAAGAACACTTCCGTTAACCAAGTACCTTAGTCAGTTAATTTGAAGTATAGGGCCCATCTTTATCTTCTTACTTCAATGAAAAAGTTCCACAAAGTAATTATAAGGCTGTCTTTTCAGAAACGATTCATCAGAGCTATAGTCTTGCCAGAAAAACCGGTCTTGAATGCATTATTACAGTTTTGGCAGTGGTATAGGATCCTTAATTCTGTTTGCAAGCTTACTATTTTGGCTAATCAAACAGACAAACGTGTTATACATCATATCCACTTAGTAAACCACTCTACATTAACTTATTCACCCCTGAAATGCCATGAAAGACTATTCTAACCTTTGGATTGGAAGAGTTCAAATGTGTTGTCAGGGGTGGATAAGTTAACGAATATAACCAATTATTATTACTATCCTCTCAGTACATTTTACTATCCACAGCATTCACCAGTCTCGCACAACATACAATCTTATCACAAATTCTTTGTTTCATATCTTCATATACTTTTCAATTCCTCTTCATGTAACAAATTGGTATTGAAGTAAATGTTCTTTTTTCCATTTTTCTTTCACCTTGGTTTGTTTATTCAGCTGGTTTTGGATTTGTCTTTTGTGGAGGTTGACTTGCCTTTTTTACCTGTACGATCACTCTGTGGTGTTATCGCACCCACTTTATTTCTTGATTCATATTCTGCAATTTTATTTGACATCTTCATACCTGTTAACAGAAAGTGTATTGCAATACAGATAAAAACCAGAAAATGTCTGTAAGACATGAATACCCCCTGTCACCATGTGAAATTATTTTCCGTGTTTGATGTTTGACGGGACGGGGTGGACGTGACGGACATGGGCAACGCTATATGCACCATCATTTTATGGCGGGGGCATGAAAATATCAAATTATAATTACCTTAGAATATATCGCATTAGAGTACAAATTACATGTGCAACTAGCATTATCTGATGACACTGAGCATTACTGCAGTGTTACTGGTACATGTAAACCCTACATATGTGTCACCAATTCATTAACTGGTACACGTAAACCCTACATATGTGTCACCAGTTCAGTGACTGGTACACGCAAACCCTACATATGTGTCACCAGTTCAGTGACTGGTACACGTAAACCCTAAATATGTGACACCTGTTCAGTAACTGGTACACGTAAACCCTAAATATGTGTCACCAGTTCAGTAACTGGAACACGTAAACCCTACATATGTGTCACCAATTCAGTAACTGGTACACGTACACCCTACATATGTGTCACCAGTTCAGTAACTGGTCCACGTAAACCCTACATATGTGCCACCAGTTCAGTAACTGGTACACGTAAACCCTAAATATGTGTCACCAGTTCAGTAACTGGTCCACGTAAACCCTACATATGTGCCACCAGTTCAGTAACTGGTACACGTAAACCCTACATATGTGTCACCAATTCAGTGCAAACAACTCAATCACCATGGAAGTTAATGGCATTAACCTTGACTGATGACCATCAAAATCTAATCAGGTGTAGAACTCAACAATACCATACTACGGTGTAAATTGAATTTGTTGAAGAGTTTGTGAGATATCTTTTTACCTTTTTACTATGGATAATGATGTGGAGAACTCAATAATACCATGCAATGGTGTAAATGTTAACCAAGGGTGAACTCTTCCTGTGACCTTTGACCCTTTGACATTGACTGATGACCATCAAAATCTAACCAGACATAGAGCTAATTGTGTTCAGGGGTTCATGCGTCCTCAATGGTGTTACGCACACTTACGCTTTCTGAACCCCTGGAATATGTCATTGCAAATTTAAAAGCTTGCAGTAAGCCATTTGATAGGTCTCCGGTAGATAACTGACCAATTGCAAGGCTGATACATGGCCTTTGAAGATTTCAAGGGGGTGACACCAGACTTCAATTTTACCATTACACGACCACGAGATTCTTTTGATGTACATCAAAGGATCAAACAGGTCTTCTTGTATATCATCCACAAGGTGGCAGACACAGAGTCTTCGATTTTTTCATAAGTGTAAGGGAGCATAAGCGCTGAAGGATTGTGGATGGGGTTCAGGAGATATTATCTTGTATATAAACTTTTTACTACAGAAGTATGGACGCACTAACATAACAATTATGACATATGATAGAATTGTGCTAAATAAATAGATTTAATGATAATAATAATAATTTGAGGTTTTTATATATGGCTTTATCACAACCTAGTTCTTAGGTCGTCTCAAAGTGGTTCATAAATTATTATCCGTGGTTATAGGGCCTTTGTCTTGACAATATCTTTGTCAACTCCCTGTGGAGCATACAGCCAGTATTGCCATTTCACAGCTCACAGCTAGCATTCTACAATTCTAGCACTGCCCAACCAAATACTCATTTACAGCTGAGTGGACTGGAACAAGCAGAGTAAAGTATCTTGCTCAAAGACAGAACACTGTGACGTGACTCGAACCCACAACCCTTCAGTCACGAGCCTGGCATCCTACCACTAGACTGCCTTGCCTCCCAATAATGAATACATATTTCATGAAATTCATATATCTTAACTGCCAAAAGGAAAATGCTTGTCTACACTTGGTTTGGTTGTGTTATAGATATAGACTCTGACCTTGTGTAAATGTTTCCATAAATCCTCTCTTGTCCAGTGGCATGTCTCCAGGCTGTTCAGTTACTTTTATTATTTTCCTCTCAGGTATTTTGAAAAACCTCCTGACAGGTTGTATTTTGAAGAACAGACTCAACACAAGGGAAAAACAGTTTGATGTAAACCAGTAAAAACACAGTGCCTGAAAAAAACAAAAACACAATTATTCAACTTAAAACTTTGACTAAGATATCAACTTAAACCCTCTGAAAAGCATGCTTCCTGAAAAATCTTGAATTCCAAGTCAATTTGTTTGCAATCTCCATGGTAGAATTCAGACATTGATATATCAAAGTAAGCTTTTATTGATTTGCACAGGTATATAGTATGGCAACATAATTAGAGGTTTCAGCCACAAAGTATTATTATACCCACATACGCCATTCGCAAATTAACACTTTGCTTTTCTCCCACCATCATGTAATTTGTCAATTCATTTGCCCAGTTACAGGACAGGATCTAATCTTGATGATAACTGGCAAAACTCAATAAAATTTCGGTATTTTGATGTTCCACTTCATTCCTCAAGTTTTTGAGGTATCTGTCATTTTCTTTAAACTTTCATGTCCCTCCAGCGATATTTTTCAAGGTATGCCATTTCATAAAGCAAAGTTCTAGTGATATTTTGAGGGCTTTTCTCTTTCACTTTAAATAAAGCTCCAATTAAGGACTTAAGACTACCTCTTAACTTTAGTTTTTTTTCAAAGTCTGACCCTTGTAATCATGAACTGTTTTATTTTCTATGCTAGAAAAAAACCCAAAGTAAGTGAAGGTTCACATATATATACCCCACCACCCCAACAATGTGGTAAAGTTTTAACCTTTGACCCTTTAAGGATCCCTTTGCCAAAAACTATAACTAAGTGTTGGAAACCGTTTTAACAGCATGACTACAGCTTTGATAAATTATTTCTGAAAAGAAAACCATACCTAATGGGACATTTTTAAGAGAAAATAAAGATGAAATAAATAAAATATATTCAACAGTTGTGTTTTGAGTGTAACAAAGTTGGGCTATACCAGGATTCCAACTCCAGACTTCAGATTGTTATACTATCACTCTAACCAAATGAGCTACCTGTACGTCGGAATGTTATACTATCACTCTAACCTTGGGGTACTGAATCAGATGGGCACAGATGGGGTACTGTATCAGATGGACACAGATGGGGTACTGAATCGGGTACTGAATCAGATGGGCACAGATGGGGTACTGTATCAGATGGACACAGATGGGATACTGTACCAGATGGACACAGATGGGGTACTGTATCGGGTACTGTATCAGATGGACACAGATGGGGTACTATATCGGGTACTGAATCAGATGGACCCAGATGGAGTACTGTATCAGATGGACACAGATGGAGTACTGTATCAAATGGACACAGATGGGGTACTGTATCAGATGGACACAGATGGGGTACTATATCGGGTACTGAATCAGATGGACACAGATGGAGTACTGAATCAGATGGACACAGATGGAGTACTGTATCAGATGGACACAGATGGGGGACTGTATCAGATGGACACAGATGGGGTACTGTATTGGGTACTGAACCAGATGGACACAGATGGGGTACTGTATCGGGTACGGTATCAGATGGACACAGATGGGGTACTGTATCGGATGGACACAGATGGAGTACTGTATCAGATGGACACAGATTGGGTACTGTATCGGGTACTGAATCAGATGGACACAGATGAAGTACTGTATCAGATGGACACAGATGGGGTACTGCATCAGGTACGGTATCAGATGGACACAGATGGGGTACTGTATCGGATGGACACAGATGGAGTACTGTATCAGATGGACACAGATGGGGGACTGTATCAGATGGACACAGATGGGGTACTGTATTGGGTACTGAATCAGATGGACACAGATGGGGTACTGTATCGGGTACTGTATCAGATGGACCCAGATGGGGTACTGTATCAGATGGACACAGATGGGATACTGTACCAGATGGACACAGATGGGGTACTGTATCGGGTACTGTATCAGATGGACCCAGATGGGGTACTGTATTGGGTACTGAATCAGATGGACACAGATGGGGTACTGTATCAGATGGACACATATGGGGTACCGTATCAGATGGACACAGATGGGGTACTGTATCAGGTGGACACAGATGGGGTACTGTATCAGGTACGGTATCAGATGGACACAGATGGAGTACTGTATCAAATGGACACAGATGGGGTACTGTATCAGATGGACACAGTTGGGGTACTGTATCAGATGGACACAGATGGGGTGCTGTATCAGATGGACACAGATGGAGTACTGTATCGGGTACTGTATCAGATGGACACAGATGGTGTACTGTATCGGGTACTGTATCAGATGGACACAGATGGGGTACTATATCAGATGGACACAGATGGGGTACTGTATCAGGTGGACACAGATGGGGTACTGTATCAGGTACGGTATCAGATGGACACAGATGGAGTACTGTATCAGTTGGACACAGATGGAGTACTGTATCAGATGGACACAGATGGGGTACTGTTTCAGATGGACACAGATGGGGTACTGTATCAGATGGACACAGTTGGGGTACTGTATCAGATGGACACAGATGGGGTGCTGTATCAGATGGACACAGATGGAGTACTGTATCAAATGGACACAGATGGGGTACTGTATCAGATGGACACATATGGGGTACTGTATCAGATGGACACAGATGGGGTACTGTTTCAGATGGACACAGATGGGGTACTGTATCAGATGGGCACAGATGGGGTACTGTATCAGGTACGGTATCAGATGGACATAGATGGGGTACTGTATCAGATGGACACAGATGGTGTACTGTATCAGGTACGGTATCAGATGGACACAGATGGAGTACTGTATCAAATGGACACAGATGGGGTACTGTATCAGATGGACACATATGGGGTACTGTATCAGATGGACACAGATGGGGTGCTGTATCAGATGGACACAGATGGAGTACTGTATCAAATGGACACAGATGGGGTACTGTATCAGATGGACACATATGGGGTACTGTATCAGATGGACACAGATGGGGTACTGTATCAGGTACGGTATCAGATGGACACAGATGGGGTACTGTATCAGATGGACACAGATGGGGTACTGTATCAGATGGACACATATGGGGTACTGTATCAGATGGACACATATGGGGTACTGTATCAGGGGTACTGTATCAGATGGACACAGGTGGGGTACTGTATCAGATGGACACAGATGGGGTACTGTATCAGATGAACACAGGTATGGTTCTGTATCAGATGAACATAGGTGGGGAGCTGTAGAAGAGTTGACTTACCGCAGGGAACTTGGCAATGCAGACTAAAGTAATTAAGGGTAAAATCCTTATTACTTGTTTTATCTTTTTACCTGATGCATCTAATTTTACACCAGTATCAGCTCCAATCTGCAAAACAAACAAAATACTGAAATTCCATTAAAATCATCATCATTATCATCATCATCATCATCATCATCATCATCATCATCAACATCGTAACCATCACCAACAGCCGTTACACAGAAATGAAAAGTATTGTGACCTATGACAATGACACAAATATAAATAGAAGAGTTCAATGGGCCTGAATCGCTCACCTGGTATTAATCTTACATCAGTTACCTTCAAAGTGGACCAAGAAGGAGCGTATTAAAATTGAGCAACAGGCAAAATATCATCACCCTAGGCCTTTTGGTTATGAAAAGAAATTGGTTATTGATACATTTGATTCCTGTGACCAAGACAGTCGTTAAAAGTAACTGATTTTATAGTCCGTCATCCCAGTAAATGCTACCAGCCAAGTATCATTACACAGGGGATTTGGGTTATTGAGAAGATATTGTGTTCAGATTATTTTTTTATTTGACCTCTATCACCTTGAAAGAGGGTCTATGCCATTCATTGGAACAACTTTGGTAGCCCTTCATCCTAGCATGCTACTGGACAAATATCATCAAATGTATTATTTGAATATACTGTACAGTTTATCAAAGTCATTTTCATTCATAAACTTTGTTGCACTCAATCCCAGGAAAAAACACCAGTCTAGTATCATGATATCAGGCCTTTCCATTCTTCAGAAGAACTCATTTATGACATGACTGTTCCTTCTTGAAGATATATCAAGGTTATCTTTATTCACAAACTTTGTTGCAATCAATCGCATGAAGCTACCAGTCTTTTATTATGATTCTACGCCTTTCCATCGTTCAGAAAAAGTCATTCAAAGTTTTTGACGTAGAATAGTAGCAAAGCAATCATCAGATCTTTCAAGAGCCAATTGGCAACAAATTAAATTCAAGTTGACATATTTCATTACTAGAATTCTGTTACATGAAGGATCCTTTATTATATCACAGACATTATAAGAGGGATGAGGTGTTATAATTTAAAGATTGGATGGGAAATGGTACCTCAATTATCAATAATAACGTGGAGGCAGTGAGAATGGGCAGGAGAAACACTGGGTCTGGCACAGTAATGTTTGTCATCCACCATATCCCCTCTGTTTTCATACTCTCCACTGGTAGATTGGTCATTCCTCTCAGGCCTGTGAACACTGTCATAAATACAGGCCCCTACAACATAGTTACACATACCTCTTAAGTACAAACACACCGACAATGCATCTGTAGCACTCACCGGATCAAAACATCTGTATTAATAGTGAAACATTACACACAGTTTAATTAATAGTTTAACATAATGTACAGTTTAAACTGAAAAGGGGAGATAAATGTTGAAAACCTATCAGTGGTAACTTCTTGAACATTTCTCTCCTACTGCTCAAAGACCTATTATTTTAACTAACTTGAAATTATATGATACTAAATATGATATGAATCACTAACCCTTATCTAACGAGCCCATTTAGAGGTCGCATACAAGTTACCCTGAGGTCAAGAGTTTAATTAGCCCATGCCTACCAAATCACCAGGGCCGTTTTCGTTTAAATGGTTGAACCAGTTGGACCAAAGTTGTTCGTTTATTAAATAGGTCGGACCTAGTAATCTGATGCTGCTTTAAGGCAAGCCTTGACAAAGCCTTGTAAGGCCTGCTTAAACATTTACAGGTCCGCCAGGATTTATACCCGAAAATGTTACATTTAAAGACGGACAAACCGGTTGTTCCGCATAAAGGAACAGGCCCTTGGGTTCCAACTCTGTCTGGGTCATTTGGGGCTTGTTAAACACTCCATACCTAGAAATGGCCTGGAGCTTGTAAAATATACCAAATTTCATACAACCTTAAAAATAGACATTCTAGAGAAGATGAACATCAAAATGTTTCACTTATTTCAGAGAACAAAAAGTACTACCCTATTTCAAACCTGGTTATATTCTAGTTACACTAATATAACAAGTAAATAACAGGCCAGCTTGTTTTTTTTAATTAATCTAGAAAAAATGCAATAGCAAAATTGAACAGATAATTTGTATAAATTGAAACAATCAACAGTTACATACCTGGGCAAATAGCACAGCAAAATTTTTGAGAGGATTGCAATTTTCTGTTTTCATGCAATCTTTCAATTCCTGATGACATTTCAGTACTGAAAGTAAAATATAGTTTCATTTACAATAGAAAAATAGGCCAATGGCCATGTGGACTTGCAAATATTTTCTAGACATATGAACTGAATATAGTTTAAAAGTTTACAGTTATCTGTAAACAAAAAAGTGCCTCTGGAGTAGAAGGCATATTGGTCAATTATGTAGTTAAATAATTAAGATATAATGAATGTATAAGCATGTATTATGGGGGAATATATAACAAGGGTGAGGAAATGTTGGAAATATAATAAACGAAGACTTCTTACAGTTTTTTGTTTGTTTGTTTGTGTTAAACGGCCTATTGACGACAACTGTGGTCATTTAGGGCCATGGTGATTTATTTATTTATTTATTTAATTCAACAAACATGAGAGAAGCGAAGATAAAATCTGATAAAATGCATATTTTAAAAGCATTAGCATTTTATGTGTAAATAATTAAAATCAAAGGGGTTAAAATGACAAGAGGCCCAAGAGGGCCTGTATCGCTCACCTGAATATTTAAGCAGTCATAGCAAAATATTCTCATTAAATATTATATTGCACTGAAAATAATTCCCTCGCAAACTTTGTTGGCTCCATCTGTTGAAACTACCAGCAAAATATTATTATAAGATTCTATGCTTTTTGATTCTTCTTCAGAAATTGCTTGACATATTTTTCCCTGTGATCTTGTAAGTAGGTCAATGTCATTTTCCTTCTCAAATTGGTTAGCTCTATTCCAAAAAGCTACCAGCCAAATCTTATGAATCCATTCCTTTTAGTTCTCAAGAACAAATCCATTAAAATGTTGTTGACCTCTGTGACCTCTAAAGTAGGTTGAGGTCATTTTCATTTGCAAACTTTGGTGAGCTCTATCCCGGGAAGTCACCAGCCAAATATTATAATTTTATGCCTTTTAATTCTTCAGAAGAAGCTGTTTGAACTGTTTGACATATTTGAACGCTGTGACCTTGAAAGTAGGTCAAGGTCATTTTCATTCGCAAACTTTGTTTGGCTCTTTCCCAGGAAGCCACCTGCCAAATATTAAGATTTTATAACTACCAGTTCTTCAGAAGAAGTCGTTTAAAGTGTTTGACATATCTGCCTCATGTGACCTTAAAAGAAGGTCAAGGTCATTTTCATTCTCAAACTTTGTTCGGCTCTTTCCTAGGAAGCTACAAGCCAAATATAGAGATTATATACCTTTCAGTTCTTCAGAAGAAGTCGTTTGAAGTGTTTGACACATTTGACCCCTGTGACCTTGAAAGTGGGTCAAGGTCATTTTCATTCTCAAACTTTGTTGGGCTCCATCCTAGGAAGCTATCAGCCAAATATGAAGATACTATACCTTTTAGTTCTTTAGAAGAAGTCGTTTGAAGTTTTTGACATATTTGACCCCTGTGACCTTGAAAACAGGTCAAGGTCATTTTCGTTCTCAATCTTTGTAGGGCTCCTACCAACGAAGCTTTCAGCCAAATATCATGACTCTAGGCCTGTCCGTTCTTCAGAAGAAGTTGTTTAAAGGAAAAGTTGACTGACGAGGACGGACGGAGGACGGACGGAGGACGGACGCCGCGCCACGGCATAAGCTCACCTGGCACTTTGTGCCAGGTGAGCTAATAAAAAAAGATAATTAATAGATTATATGAAATACTAGTATGTGATATATGCATAACATCAAAGAGGGTAGGTGGGTTAAAAGACATCAGAGTCTATAGAATAGACCGATGTCTTTCAAATGGTTAAATAATGCCTTTGAGTCCACGGAACTGAAAAGAGTTTTAATATCCGGGACTCTAGTGTAATTATCACGAATGTGTTTAAAATCTGAACATTCTATTAAAAAATGTTCCACTGTAAATGGAGTGTCACAAGAAGGATTTTGAAGAAATTGCTCTATTTCCCCTATTCGGCCCCGCCCCTCTGCACCCAGGGGGGGCCACGCTCACTGTTTATACCAAATTGAGTCCCCTTGGCCCAAGGATACTCCAAACTAAATTAGAATAAAATCCCTTAATTCCTATGGTAGAAGAAAGATTTAAAAGGTTTTACCTCTATTTCCCCTATTCTGCCCTGCCCCTTTGCCTCCAGGGTAGGACGATAGTTGTTGGGGTCAGTAGCATCCTTTCCCGGTTTTGGGATAGGTATAATTGTGGAGTTCATCCACGAATCTGCAATTTTTCGGAAGCGTAAACTTGGTTGAATATGTAAAGAAGGCATCTTAGTGACGAATCCGGTAGGTGTTTGAGAAATTGATGTGGAATATCATCTGGACCTGAAGCAGGGTCCTGTGATTTTCCAAGCGAATTAACAAGTTCTGGCAGGGTAAATGGTTCATTGTAACTTTCTTTGTTTGGTGATTTGAAATTTAGCCATTTCTTTTGTTGTTTTTTCTTTAAAGACTGGAATTTTTGGGAGTGGTTTAAAGGGAATGAGTTTTTAGGAATGTTTTTTGTAAATGCATCAGCAATTTTAGACTTTGAAGAAAAACAAGAGGCCCAATTGGCCTGCATCACTCACCTGGTATAAAACTCACACTTGTAACCTTAAAAGTGATCTAAAATAAAGCTACAGGCAAAATATCAGTACTTATGATTCAAATTCATTCAAAAGACCCTGTTATTTTTTTTTAAAACGTTTCACCCCTGTGATTGAAAGTCAAACAAAGTCATTATGTTGAACACATTGTTTAGCCTTTCATCTCAGGATGAAACTTGCAAAGTATAAACATCCTGGGACCCATGGTTATTCATAAGAGGTTGTTTAAAGATTTTAAACAAATTTGACCCCTGTGACCTTGAATATAAGTCAAAGTCATTCACTTTAACAAACATAGTAGTCCTTGATCCTAGCATATGCTACAGACTAAATATCAAAATCCTGAGCCTTTTGGTTATTCAGAACAAGTTGTTGAAATATTTTGAACATATTTGCTCCTTGTGACCTTGAATATGATTCAGGTCATACATTTAAACAAAATTGGTAGCCCTTGATCCTAGTATGCTACTGATTAAATATGTTCACCCTAGGCATTTTGGTTATTCAGAAGAAGTTGTTTAAAGTTTTTAACATATTTGACCCTGTGACCTTGAATATGGGTGAAGGTCATTTATTTGAACAAACTTTGTAGCCCTTTATCTCAGCATGCTACTGGCCAAATATCATCACCCTGGGCATTTTGGTTATTCAGCAGAAGTTGATTAAAGTTTTAAACATATTTGACCCCTGTGACCTTCAATATGGGTGAAGGTCATTCATTTGAACAAACTTTGTAGCCCTTTATCTCAGCATGCTACTGGCCAAATATCATTACCCTGGGCATTTTGGTTATTCTTTTTCCAACTTATTTTCTGAATCATATCCCATACTTTTTTGAAGGATACATATTCTCTCCAGCTGTTGTCAGAGGGGCCAGACCCTCCGTTTATACAAACTTGAGGCTATGTCCAAAGATGCTCTAAAACAAATTTGGTCAAAATCCTTCTATTGGTTGAGAATAAGAAGATTTTTAAATATTTACCTATTTTCCCCTTATTTGGACCCGCCCCTCTACCCCCAGGGGGACCATACCCTCTGTTTATACAAAACTGAGAACCCTTTGGCAAATGATGCTCCAGACCAAATTTGGTCAAAATCCTCTTAGCCATTAAGGACTAGTAGCGTTGTTAAGGTTGTTAAGAAAAAGTTGAAAGGCACGGGATACTGCGCCACGGCATAAGCTCACCTGGCCCAAATGGCCAGGTGAAATAATTTCATAACAATGAGTGAAAGTTTAAATTCCTAGAAAAATGGAACATTTTTCCAAACATGTTTTCCCCAGATTTCAGACTTGCGAAAACCATGGTAAACACATCGAAAACCAAAAAAAAAAAAAAAAACGCAAATGGCGATATGGCTGGATTGCTACAGTACATTTTCATGCATCACATGTGATAAGCATCTTTAGATACATAAGCCATGTAAGTTTAGTTGATGTACAACAAGTAGTTACTAAGTAACTGACCTTAACCAATCTTTTTAACCTGGTCACTGAAGCAGCAAATATAGGTCAGAAACAGCATTCGAAGCATCGCATGTGATAAGCATCCTTAGATACATAAGCCATGCAAGTTTAGTTTAATGTACAACAAGTTATTACTTGGTAAGTGACCTAAACCAATCTTCATAACCATAGTGCAGATTGGGCCTGACCTCAACCAGTCTTCTTAACCTGGTCAGTCAGGCAGACATGTAGGTCAGAAGCAGCATCCGAAGCATTGCATGTGATAAGCATCCTTCGATACATAAGCCATGCAAGTTAAGTTGATGTGGGATCAATTATCATATCTTGGAAACTGAGCTTAACCCTTCATCTTAACCTTAGTGCAGACGGACGGACGAGAATCGCCAATCTATAAGCACTGATTGCGTTGCAATCCGGCCAAAATGCAAAAAAAAAAAAACCAACATTATCTTTAACAAAGGACTCCAAATTAGGCCCCCACAGATAGGATTTTATTTCTCAAAACCTGTTTTAAATTAAATATCATCTACTCAGAAACAGAAATACCCACATTTAAACAAAGGTCAATCTGGCAGATTACACATGTACTGAGTACAAAAATAGACTACATGAAAAGCTAGCTTTTGTTGTGTAGACACAGTTTTGAAAATGGCCAAAACTGCACTCACAAACCAAATGCAACCATTTTTCTTGAAATATCACGAGTCCCACATTGTCCTCTTCATCTTGTAAATATCAGTGCTAATCAGTTTTGTAAATATCAGTGCTAATTAGTTTTTGAAATTTTGATACTTTTACTGTCTACTGCTACCTCAGCCCCCTTTAGGGTCAGCTCCTTCTCGCATAAAACTTTCATCCTCATCATTTTCAGATTGTTCCATAGAATGTTGGTGAGAATCCACTGGTTACTACAGTCCAGAGGAGGTGCCATTTTTGAGGATTTCGCATTCCGAGAATAGATTCTTTACTCCAACCACAAGCTGGTAACTTTCAAGTTTTATTAAAATCTGACCGAAAGTTTCCAAGGAGAGGTTTAAACTAAGATTATTTACGGATGAAATATTAAGACAGACAAAAGGCAATCACAATAGGTCACCTGTATTCTCTAACCAGTTTGAACTATCCCATTTCCTTGAGAGAACCTAGGCATAGGGTAAGTAATTAACAACAAGACAAATCATGAAGTGGGGAAAAAAAATAAAAAATGAATAGTTGGACAAATTGGGAGGACATGATCGTTTTACAGGAATCATCGTCAATAACATACAGACCTTGAAGTGTTAATAACATACAGACCTTGAAGTGTTAATAACATACAGACCTTGAAGTGTTTATAACATACAGACCTTGAAGTGTTAATAACATACAGACCTTGAAGTGTTAATAACATACAGACCTTGAAGTATTAATAACATACAGACCTAGAAGTGAATTCCCTCCTTGTTGTGCTCTGTGCAGCTTGTCGTTGATTGCAGCAATTTTTGGAGCAGCATTTTGGGTTCTCACACCATTTCTTTGTACCAAGACATTCAGTGGAAACATTGCAAGCCTTAAAGCTATTGTAACTGAAATAAAAACCAACAACTGTTTTAGAATGAATGTTGTTCACTAAACTGTGCACCCATGCTACCATGTGGTAAGTGTCAGTAACAGAAAACCATAAGACAAGGCACTATACTGTGCACCCATGCTACCGTGTGGTAAGTATGTAACAAAAGACCATAAGACAAGGCACTATACTGTGTACCCATGCTACCATGTGGTAAGTGTCAGTAACAGAAGACCATAAGACAATGCACTATACTGTGCACCCATGCTACCATGTGGTAAGTATGTAACAAAAGACCATAAGACAAGGCACTATACTGTGTACCCATGCTACCATGTGGTAAGTGTCAGTAACAGAAGTCCATAAGACAAGGCACTATACTGTGTACCCATGCTACCATGTGGTAAGTGTCAGTAACAGAAGTCCATAAGACAAGGCACTATACTGTGTACCCATGCTACAATGTGGTAAGTGTCAGTAACAGACGACCATAAGACAAGGCACTATACTGTGTACCCATGCTACCATGTGGTAAGTGTCAGTAACAGACGACCATAAGACAAGGCACTATACTGTGTACCCATGCTACAATGTGGTAAGTGTCAGTAACAGACGACCATAAGACAAGGCACTATACTGTGTACCCATGCTACCATGTGGTAAGTGTCAGTAACAGAAGTCCATAAGACAAGGCACTATACTGTGTACCCATGCTACAATGTGGTAAGTGTCAGTAACAGACGACCATAAGACAAGGCACTATACTGTGTACCCATGCTACCATGTGGTAAGTGTCAGTAACAGAAAACCATAAGACAAGGCACTATACTGTGCACCCATGCTACCATGTGGTAAGTGTCAGCACCAGAAGACCATAAGACAAGGCACTATACTGGGCACCCATGCTACCATGTGGTAAGTGTCAGCACCAGAAGACCATAAGACAAGGCACTATACTGGGCACCCATGCTACCATGTGGTAAGTGTCAGTAACAGAAGTCCATAAGACAAGGCACTATACTGTGTACCCATGCTACCATGTGGTAAGTGTCAGTAACAGACGACCATAAGACAAGGCACTATACTGTGTACCCATGCTACCATGTGGTAAGTGTCAGTAACAGAAGTCCATAAGACAAGGCACTATACTGTGTACCCATGCTACCATGTGGTAAGTGTCAGTAACAGAAGACCATAAGACAATGCACTATACTGTGCACCCATGCTACCATGTGGTGAGTGTCAATAACAGAAGACAATAAGACAAGGCACTATACTGTGCACCCATGCTACCATGTGGTAAGTATGTAACAAAAGACCATAAGACAAGGCACTATACTGTGCACCCATGCTACCATGTGGTAAGTTTCAGTAACAGAAGACCATAAGACAAGTTGTTTATGAAAATTAACCTCTTAATCCTGGATCTTTTTATTTAGACAATAAGCGTCTTCAATAAGATTCATTAGTTTTAAATATGTAATATCAAAGTTAAACTTTATACACAAGTAATGTACGTATCAAACAATTCAAGACCGACTGTTCCCTTTTTCAAGCAGTGAGTGAAGCTGAGTCATAGCTTGACAAAGGGACCAGTCGCTCTTGAAACATTGCTACACGTTTCATATGTACATCGTTTGTGTATAAAGTTTAACTTTGATATAAAACAATAAGCAATTAAACGGGCCTATATTGTTCAAATGTTTCTAACTTAACAAGGCCAGAAAATAAAAATGATTCTACCACAAACGTTTTCATTATTTTACAATGGTTGTTCAATATTTATAAGATTTACAGCACCTGGACTAATGTTCAAACTTTGATCATTTGTTCGTATAGAATTTGTGAAGAAATACAGCATGAGACTAACTGTGTCTGAAGCAAGCACATAGTTCCAGCTAAAAACAAAACATTATATTCATCTGCAGTGAAAAGCCTAGCTTTGAAAATAAGAGGGCCTTATTAACTCATTGACCCCTGAAGACACATTTGAACCCTTCCAATTCAAAGGTTGGAATAGTTCATTATGAAATTTCAGGGGTGAATGAGTTAAGACCTCCATTTACATTAATGTTTTAAAAATTTAAACAGTAATGGCTGTTTTGATGTTTGGAGATCAATATTGACAGAAAAAAGTATCAAAAGCATCTTTAATTCTGAAACATATTGCACAAACAGTTTAAAAATTTACAAAAAATGTCACTTTGAACATTTTCTTTGATTACTGACAGATGTATAACTCTAAAACAAGAAAATAAAGGTGGTTGTTTGCCTTTTCTTACATGCACGACCACTAAGGAATTAGACCAGGCCCACTGGGGAAGCCAACCCCAGAGGGACTGTGTCGCTCACCTGGATATTTAAGCAATCATGGCAAAATATTCTCATTAAATCTTATACAGTTATACCTCCACCTTCTGTCCAGTGCCAATTTTGACGGTACAACAGGGGTGGCAAAACAACGGGGTTTCAGTAGGACAACCAAATGTGGTTGTTGAGTATGGTATTTATTTCACTCGAGTTAGTTAATTAGTAGCGTTTTAAAGGAAAAAGTTGACGGAAGATGGACGCACGATGCCGGATGCAGGACGCTGCGCCATGGCATAAGCTCTCTTGGCCCGAAGAAAGGTGAGCTAAAAATCCACAAGGCAGTTCAGGACTAGTAGCTATTTAAAGGAAAAGTACTCGTGATCACTTGTCCTTTGGAAAGACGAGCTAAAAGTGAGACCTACCTACAGCTATGGCTCCTACCCAGGTCAGTCCTTCCACATGAAGATATTCTAGGGCCTGCTGGTAAAGACCTGCAGGCATATTACTGCCGAGTCCCATGCTCTGCAGGGTGGGCTCGCCTAGGGCATTAAGTGGAAGCTCTACTGGATCCACATATGATGGCAAACTGGGAGGTTCGGGAATGAAGCTGTTTAGCTCTACATCCTAAAAACAAAGGTTTAAAGTGGCATGATTCCTACAATAAGTACACATCCCCACATGGGTTTCCAACAAGCCAATGCAAGCTATAGTGTGGTAATAATGAGTAGCACACAAAAAGTTGAAAAACTTGTGTTAACTTAAATACATACATAGCACAGGAATACAATTTAACACCAGGTGTAAGAATTTGACACAGAATGCAAGGTGATTGCAAGAAAGTATTGACAATAAATTATATAACTGGTTAATAAACACAATGCTGTAACAAGATAACCCTACATCTGTCCACCACACAGCTTGGAGTCCACATTTTGGATTGGTCACCAATGTAGGAGGTCTCTGGATTATTTGTTGGCTAGAGAAGCTCTACTATACAAAGTTTCCTTGTTGCCAACATTTAATCCTTATTTGTTTGCCCTTTATCTTTGTTTAAATTCAAACAGAATATACATTATTCTTTTAGAATTACAACAAATATAATGAAATGATGGAAATTATCAATGAAACGAATGTGTAGGAGGTTATTTGGTAGGCAGGTAATAAGGCAACCAACAATATTTATCTGCTTTCAGGGAAAGACTAAATACTTGGAATGTACGTAATACGCTCAGGTACCAATTCAGGTGTGCTTGTTGATGCTTCGGTGCTTTTGTGACGCTGGACTCCACAAACGCTCCATGTTAGGGCCTGACTTCTCTGAAACACATTTAGCTTAGACCTCTGAGTTTTGTTGACAAAACTAGATGACTGTGGATACTTGCAGGATGCAGCATGGAGACATCGCCTGGAGAGACCCTGTAGGATAAATAGCTTGTGTTAAAATTGTATAAATTTAACAAAATACAGTCCCAGGTGGTCTTTTTACACTATATTTACAATGTATAGCAATATTTTAGCAGTATAGGACTTCCACAGCAATTAAATAGGCAAACACACAATAACATCCCTAGTACTGCAGGATAAATCATGTCACCCTGACCAATGCTACTTTCTAAGTAGTCAGGATATTTTTTCTTCACAATCTACTATCTAGATTCTCTTGATTTCCAAATTCATTATATATGTATACTTTTACAGAGAAAAATTCATCATAAAATGCTTGTGCGTCATTCTGGATAATGTAATGTTGCACAAACCTATGCTTGTTTGTGTAATATTGTGTAATATGTTACCTGTGGACTTAAATGTAATATGTTACCTGTGGACATAAATGTAATGTTACCTGTGGACATTGTGTAATATGTTACCTGTGGACATGTATATGCATATTAGAATTGTTCTAATGAATCACTGTCTAGTTGTGTTAGTATTACACTATGACCAATCAATCACATTTGATGGAGGTTTTTGCCGAGACATTGAGATCATGTATAACTTCCCATATCTTTCCTTTGATACCGAGATTAAATAGCTTTCTGTCAAGAATATTGTGATTTACTGTGTCAAAAGCCGCCTTAGCGTCCAGCATCGCCACAAATGTATTGGATGAGGGTTTGTTGGTTATAGCTTCGCACAGAATAAGCCCAGCTCGAAGGGGAGATATCCCTCTAGTGAAGCCCCGTTGGAGCGCGTTTTGTTGTGGTTCAAATACAGGTTGGATTTTTAGAATCTGCCTCAAGTGTCTTTAGAATAACCGGAAGAATTGCAATCCCTCTATAGTTCTTGGATTCTCTCTTATTGCCCTGTTTTTGTAGATAGGAGTAAGCTGGCCCATTTTCAAACAATCTGGAACTTTCCCTTCTGCTATAAACAAGTTAAATAGAGTGACAAGTACCTCCGTAACGTTGATTCCTCCATACTCGAGATGTTCTGCCAATAAGTTGAATATATCCTCTGCCTTGTTGGTATTTAGACACGAGACTGCTTCCTCGACTATCCTGGGGATTATCATTTCATTACTGGTTGGATTTTGCCCCTGGCATATGGATTTTATTACATCAATGTCAAACTGAATATCTCCCATCCTGCAATAGTCGTTGTAATCCTTGGGCGGGTCTGGTGTAACTTATTTTCTGAAATGTTCTTGCCATCCCAGTTAGACGATGTTGGGATTACTATGTCATATTATCCACTGTCAGTTCGATAAGTGAACTACCTGATGATTTCCTTACCCGGTCTATAAGGCGGTAAAATGTTTTCCTGTCTCCCGTTCTCGCCTCCATAATCTCCCCCATATACATGTAGTCATCCCTTTTTCTTCCCATCTCCATCCTCCTCTGTCTGCGATGTTCCTTCTTGGCCTCTCTCCTTCTGTCGGCAATCGGACCCTGGAGTGGCCTATTATACTCTTTCCACAGTCTAAGGGCTGCCTTATTAGAAGCTGTAGCCTCTACAATCTTACTATTCCATAAAAGCTTTTACCTCTCTTTACCTTGGTGGTATGTGGTGCAACGCTATCTGCCGAGCTGGAGAATATGTTCAGAATTTGAAGTGCGATGACTTCTATTGAAGGGAACCCCCCAGTCTATAATTTCAAGGTTTTTTGACAGTGCCTGTTGATACCTGCCCTTGTCCATTTTCTTCCAGTTTATCCTTCTGGGATTTGCTGAAATCGCAGTAGTGGTGTTAGACAACTTTGATGTAGTGTCATAGAGTACCTCCACCATAATTGGATAATGGTCCGAAGTGTCACTGGCAAGGTCGTCAATTATGACGATTGAGGGCAGGCCACGTTCCTGACAATATGTTTGATGGACTAGGACATAGTCAATAGTAGAATTATCCCTGCCATTTGGATGCTCAAAGGTTTCTGGAATCCACACTCATTCATACATTGCTCCAGTTTCGACTGACGAGAAGAGGTTTTCATGAGATCACAGTTCATATCGTCTAGGATAAAAACATCAGGTGTACTTAAAAAATATCTTGTGATCTCCTGAAGGATGATCAAGCAGTCATCGTACATAGAATCTGAATTCTTGGAATTTCGGCATGGCATATAGACAGAAACAATAACAAGTGGGCGGGGGTTGGTCAATATAGGCAAGTCGTCTAAATTATGGGCGTCATGACCCAATATGAAAATTGTAGTAAACATGGTGGCATCAGTAGTAATACTATATTTGGCCATGCATAGAAGGATAATTGAGATAACATCGTGCGTGATCCGTCATGGCGGTCGTTTCTATTTTTTCCCCCCAAGACAGACTTAGTTGATTGGGTGAAGGGGTTTTTTCATTGGTAAGGATTCATTTTTTTAACAATAATGCAATATTTTGATACCATCGGACGACGCAATATATATAAAAAATCTTGTCGTCAGAAAGCTACGTTTTAGCAGCTAACCCTCCAGTAACTACATATAGATCATTTGTCGACACTACCGGTAGGATGTAATTTTTAGTTTTAGGGAGTTTGGACTTGAATGAGGGAGTTTTGAGGGAGATTGGTAAATTTTCATCAAAATGTGTGAGTCTCCCTTTCTAATGAGGGAGGGTTCAGTTGACAGCTATGCCCTAGGCATTAAGGCCATTTTGGTATAGAAGTACTCCTTTAACATAAGAGGACGCTGGTCGGCCTTTTTTCTATCAGATATGATTTTGCCGACTGTTACACGGCGCCTATCAAAAATATCTCGCTGTGTAAAATCTCTAACATTGTTGGTGTATATAGGGCTACATTCGCGTATCCCGGTTGAAACGGTATGTGTGGCGCAGAAATTTTCCACGATAAACCAACACACTTGGACCAATCTATCAGCAGAGCTAAAAATGCAGTTTCGGAGAATAAAAAACAATGTATCAAGAATATTATGCCCTTCTCTCACGCGTCCACTGAATTACATAACGTATCTTAAAAACTACATGTGGTTTGACATTAAGAAAGAAATAACGCAAACTGGCAATAGTCAGCATTTTAGTTTCGGCCAGGTACGTCTGGACTCCTCAATATACACGTGCCGAATTTTCCTGAGGTCAGCCTCGGTTCAGATCTGTACCTGTCGTTTTCTTTACAGGTTCAACCGTTTCAACCGCATACGCGAATGTACCCGTGAAGGTGCATCTCACTCAGTCTCACACAGGTTACAGCAATATAGAAGAATCACATGCGCTGGAAGGATTATCATTAAAATCGCTTTGCAATATCAAAATATGGACATAAATAACATTCCAGTTACCTCTGATTTCACTAAAGTTACATTTAAATTATGAGTATCTCGCAATATCAATTTTGACGTTAGCGACAGAAGTCGCACATGTCTCAAAGTCGCCATGTTAAACTCTCTAAATAATAACAATAAACCTATTCAAGGATGTTGCAATTATATTTCATAAATAAAGAACCAGTATATATATTTGAATAAAGAAACTCATAACGAAGGTCTTAAGAATATTATCAAAGGTTGCATGTCGAAAGCAATTGTTTATTTATATTTTTAGAGATTATAATATCGGAACATTCTTATGTTTTCCATTATAAATATCTAGGAACCAGAGAAGCGGCGCGTCTAATTACCCAATACTACCCAATACTACCCAATACCACCCAATACTACCCAATACCACCCAATACTACCCAATACTACCCCATACGACCAAGTTATGAACCAAATACTTCTTTATTACTGTGAAATATCACCTTTGTAGACGTTATTTACTTCCATCTGCCATATTTTATCGGGAAATATGCGATTTGGTGCCGAAAACATCACCGAATTGCCGTGACTATGACCC